ATGCTGTACAGGAGACGTTCATAGGGAGCTTCTCCTGGTCCGAGCTATAGTGTTCGCGTTAACATACCGAGAATGGAATTGTTTTGATATTTTCCCCAGAGCCTTCCCCGGGCCGGGTATATGCATATTTGGTGATGCAAAGGTAGCTTTGCCGCCCTCTCGCTCATTAATACCTTGGCGCCGAGAAATAGGACGTTCTGATCTGTCGATTCGATGATACCAATCCTTCGAACGAGCCCGCAGAACTTGAAAACTTAATTCTGCAGGACTTAATTTGCTTCGAATTCAGCGCCCGGAATCTCCTATTCTAGAGTCTACTTGTGAGGTATGTGAGAACTGTATCAAGCTCATCAAAAGCTTATCAACAGGCAAGGTATACTTCGTATGTCAACACACCCAAAGAGCCATAGGGATCATAGTAGATCAATGGAGAGGGCTCACTAGTTAAGCAGGTATATGGAGCAGCCTTGCCTTTGACTAAGGCTGGGGCCTGAATGGTGTGTCCACGCCACGATCGATCTCCATTGATAACCTTGGAAACTAGTGAAATATCTGCATGATGCATTTATCTATCGGTGCAATCCTCATCACCATTGACCTGAAATAACTTGGATGATCTACCTAGAAAATGACTTGTACACTCTTTCTTGATTCTGGGAGGCGTCATTCATGAAGGCTCAGGATATTCGATTGGACGTGCGGGATTTATTTCACCACAGATCTGTTTCGACTATAAATGGAAAGCTGATTCTTTTGGTTAGACGATCCTCGTATACCTGCTATGTGGGGTATATATCAGGAATTAGCCACACGCCCCAGGGGTTTCTTTGAAACCGAGACCGAGTTGATGCTCCTTTTAGGCCAATGAAAATACCTCAATCCAGTTGCCCAGTTGCCCAGTTGCCCTGGATATAATAAAGTTCTTCTTTTTTAGAGATCGTTGGAATAGGAAGGTGCTACTCAGTACATCAAGGAGTAATGTGAATTCATACTGCAAATGGTACCTGTAAGAAGTCAATCAAGTTATCAAATACATAGGGCTCAAGTATATGCAAGGATAGCAGCATATACTCTTTCTGGACATGCATAGAGGTCTAGGATGGATATAGTGAGCATCGTGTCTCTGTATATGCACATAAAGTTTGGAAAGCGTGGAAGAAAAGGAAGTTTAAGCCAATATCTAGTATCCAACAGCAGGTGGCCTAGTGGTAACATGCCAATGTGTACTACGAGGGAAGTGCCTAAGATCTTCCACTACCTGACTGTTCCGTTTGACTGCGGTCGTGATCGCGTTTCATTATTTCTAGGTGCCAAAACCCCTCTTTCTTTTTCTTTATAGACGACAGATGTTAGAGCCTCAGGTCATATAATGCTTAAGGCGTCTAATACACCATATAGCTCCCTCCTCTCTTTCCTTTTTTAGTGCCTGCCTTTTTAAACCTACTGGGAGAATGTCATGATTGCGACTATACCTTTTTACCATTAACAGTATTCTGAGTGTCTTCATTGCCACTTCCACATCCTAAACTCAAGCCAAGCCTACTCCTACTCTCTGGCATAATTGTATGTGCCTTGGGACTATGAAAGATACAACCACTTGTACTCCGTAATAATGAAGGCTACTAACGATGACATCTTGTATGATGTAAACCTTGAAGAAGAATAGCGATATCGCAGTTGGGCTGCTAGTTTGGGCCGATATATGGACAACCTGGGGTTTAAAACTATAGAGTAGATATCGATATGTTTTTATGAACGTCAAGCAACCAGACTTCTCACTAGTCATTTTCACGCACGGGGTAGGTAGATTCCTCACAGGCAATAACAATATGCGTGAGATCTGGCATTGTTCTAAGAATTCGTAAACAATAAACTGGGTGCATCCAATTACAAACAAAGAAATTTCAGCCCTTACGCCACGAAATTCCATAATGTGAAGCTTTAGATACTCATAGAAGTAAGCAAAACATTTGATTAAACATTTAGAAGGATTGAGCGATCGAGAAAGTAGAAAGTCTGAATATCATTTTCTTGAGACTAGTGTATCCACAATCCCCAAATCCTGGTCTGGGTGTCGATCATACTATGAGTTAGCCCATGTCATATGAAAATCAAAAAATCACTCATCTGTCTTGGAAGGGATACTTTTTCTTTCTCTTACCTAAGTTAAATGCAGTTATCCACGTAATTTCCTTCAGTGACCATGAAAAGGTCCATCACAGAAGAATTGTGATATAGTCTTTGCCTTTATTGTTAGTCCTGCATCCGAGTACTCCGTAGTCCGAGCTTTGTTTGCTCGACCAGGTATAGTATGTAGCTTCTTTTTCCTATTTCGCATATGCACCATATTAAGAAAGAGGGACGTTTCAGATTTCCATAGTTTCGCACTAGACTCAAACCAAGGCCTAGAAAAAACTAAGAGCTTGTGACCGCCGAAATTACGATTATTCCTAGGCGCAGTTGGGGCTGAAAGAGAACAGAACAGACGCCAAGCAAGTGGAGCAAAAACGAGGTCAATTTCCCATTGCATAAGGTATACGGAGTACAAAGTATATTGGAAAGATCATCAACTCGTTTTGGATAGTTTAATTGGAGAGATCGGCTGGAGTTAAATGGGAGGCTGTGTGTATCCAATAGGAAGGTAGAAGCCGAATTTATTTTTTTTGATCTGACTAGTGTCCTGCGCACGGCAATTCATTTTATTTTTGATTGGTATATTTAGTACTCCGTATCATGGGCCGGGCATGATGGGCTTAGGAATGGTGCAGCAATTCTGGTGGTGCCTGGATTTCCCTTCTACGGCGAACGCCGCTTAAACAATCTCTCCTCGTGTCCACAACTGTTGGTGCGTAAGCCCTCGGACAACCCCCGATAATAAATGAGGGTAACCCGAATAGGCAATTACCTCGCTCCACATATGTATGGAGAAGGTCAAAGATCAAAAGAGAGAGAACGAGAGGGTGAAAAAAAGTACGAAAAGATGGTCTAGGCTAGAACCTCGGCTTAGTTACCGCATTGGTTTACGCCCTGATCATATGGTCGCCGTCCTATTACCCGGAAAGTTTTTGTACCCCGTACTACTTCGTACCCCCCCCTCCAAAGTAGGTACACTCATTCTCATACCCCTTGCTCCAGGAACAGGATTATACGGAGTACAGAGTATAGATTGAAGAGATATCTTTTTTCTGTTTTACGGCCCCACTAGACGGGAATAACCGTTGACCCGCCTTGAACCTTGGTAACGGATTCATTGTTGGATTGTTTGTAAATGGTAAAAGAAAGAGTAACATGGTGCGATAGCATAAAGACAGGGATCTTGACAAAAAGGACTTCGCCCCATATTTTTAGCGAGATCATCCGTATAAATTGCCTGACTCGTTAGCGGCACATACCGTCATCAACCCATTGGCTCATATTGTTGGTCCACCCCCGTCAGATCAATGGACTTGCATAGTCGATCGTTGGACAAATTGAAAACCAAGGAAAAGAAAATTCTAATTGACTTACTCACATAGCTGGAGTTCATATGAAACCCCCATACTGGCGGAGAAGCTCGGGGGAGACTAGCAGGGGTATGAAAATCATCTCGGCCGCGTCTCAGCTGATCAGTCAAAAGGGTTAAAAGGGTGAAAAAGAGGACCCAACATTAGCCCGTTATTAACTCCAGACTGTTTCCATGTTAGTCTCCCGGCAGATCCATAGAGACATTGCGCAGTCTGTACTTTTCGGTGACCTCGTCACATTCCACCCCTTTGGGATATCACAGGTTAAAAGTCAATATATGAATGAAAAGGGCAATAGGTGAGCGGATGGAGAATACCGATGGATCCTCCACAGAACATTAGAATTCTATAGGCGGAATGAAGGGCTACGGATTCCGAGCCTTGTCGATTCCCTGCAGCGGATGTCCGTGCTGATCGTACCCAAAAGATCTGGCCCACTATTTACCCCAGATTTGTTGGCGTTACACAAAAGGAGAAAATAATCGAAATTAAGTGAAAATTTCAAAGTGGACGGGGATCGGGGGCGCTTAGGCCCGAACTATGGGATGGTCCCCGAAAGGAGATCTCTCCCTTTCAGTTTCACCGCGCTTCTTCCTAGGAAAAAAAAAGAAAAGAAAAGAAAAGAAAAAAAAAAGGAAGAAACCTTCGATAGTGTGGGGAGTGGCTTATACTCCAGCTGAATGGTTCATGGGAAGAAAAAAAATATATATATATATCGAATCATTATTAGTACACATCATTATACGCAAAGGTTCCGCGGACCATGCATTATTACATCCGGGGTTATTTATCTTGGCAAGCCTTTTCCAATGGATCAAGGGGGAATGTCTTACAGGTTTTTACGGAGTACATCTGGAGTACATACGGAACTCGTGACGAATCACCCACGTTATTAGACATATGTAACATGTATGGATGTACTCGGACTATGGAGCTTCGGTCTAGAATCGTATGAGGTATACATGTACGGAGTATCAAAAGTCCTATTCCAAGGCAACAAGAAAAAAGAAAAAAAAAACACAAAACCCCATAACGATGCCCTTGTCAAAATTGCTTTTTTTGGGGCTTCTTCACTGCAAATCAGGTCAGATCCAACATGCTTGGCCTCTCCCCCGCATAGAAAGTTAGGGAATAAAGTACGTAGAATATTTTGGAAATTTAATTGAAATATTAATTTTTTTTAATGACTCAAATGGCTTAAATCTTAATTAGCATTATAATCGACTAATGCGTTCATAGCTGTAGTCTCGGATTTCTTTAATTGGATTCACCCTAGTAAAAAGCTCTTAGATATTATTAATATTAATATCCTTCAGATCTAGATTTAATTCCCCTCTATTTGAATCTAAAAGTGTATCCTCTGATCACACGCAGTCTGGTGGACCAAGCACATTTTCCCGTACTTAGTTTTTCTCTTCCCCCCCCACTCCATTTATACCCGATAGTTCCCCCCTCTCGTCAGCGCGCATATCTAAGCTCTTATCGGATGCCTTTTCAATGTTATCCATGCATCCCTCACTTTTCACCCATCCAGATTTGAATGATGAAAATCAAGAGAGTCGTGAATCGGATATACCATCATTAGGGATACGCGGCTCTATCATTCGAGCCAGTACATCCAGCGCCAGCACTGGTGCTAGTACTGATGATGCCTCGATCGATTCACCAGACTGGAATGAGAAATTATTCGATCAAGACCAGCAGTTGAAGGGATATTCACATTTTGATCCACAATTGGAACATATTATGGAGATACCCAAAGTCGAAGAACTGGATGAACTCGACGATGATCTGTCGAGTATCAAACAGGCTGATGTGGAGTCGGGCGCTCCCGCTCCTGTTCCACGGAAACGTGGTCGCCCACGCAAACATCCACTGCCTGTCCCTGGAGGTCAAGCCAAGGTCACTAAAGGTCGCTCCAAGACAGGTTGTATTACCTGTCGTCGGAGGAAGAAGAAGTGCGATGAGACAAAACCTGCGTAAGTTGTGTTTCTCCTAAAGTGAGTCTTGTCTAACAGGAGGGTAGTTGTCAAAACTGTCAGAAGAATGCGGTCGTTTGCGAAGGCTACCCACTCAAAGAAATTTGGAAGAGTGGGAGACAGAGACTGGCTGATGGTAGGTGCATTTTACATTCTGATTTCGACTAATCATACACTAACCCCGTCTTTTTCTGGTAGCTCGATCCCAGTCTCTTACATCTGTGCCGCGCAGTTTACCCCTCCTCATCGACGGCATAGAAACGGACGTTGACCGTCGCTTTTTGGATCATTTTGTCTACGGTTTCAGTCGTGTGCTGACACTTATCAACGATGATTCGAATCCCTTCAAGGAGATCCTTCTCCCGATGGCGACACAACATAGGGGGCTGATGCATTCGTTAATGTGCTTGTCCGGATCGCATCTCTCAGGTTTAGATCCTGAGCCAAAGCTGAAGGAGCGAAAATACTTTCATTTCCACCACGCTATACAAGATTTGAAAGATAATATCAATGCGTCATCATCAGCTAAGAGCCCCGACGATGATGAGCGATTGCTAGTTGAGGACCCGATCATCGCATCCACCATCGCCCTCAGCTTGAACACCATCTGTGAAGGCGAAACAAACGGTGAATACCGACCGCACATGGATGCCGCCCGGTACTTGCTCCTGTCCCAACAACCACGGAATGAAAAATTCCGCCAGTTCATCGTCGAGTTCTTCCAATATCACGATGTCTCGAACTCTCTTACCTCGCTTGACCGCCGTCCCAACCTCTTGCACAACGACCTGCACATGCCCGATTTCGTACCCGGTGTATCAGCGGGGATGTTTCTCGGTGTATTCGACGGTCTCTTCAACTACATCTCCCAGATAACCCAGCTCCGTGACCGTATCCGCGAGCGTTTCAACGAGGGCTATGAGCCAGCAGTGGACTACCAGACGTTGAGCGAGGCAGTTTCTATTGATATGGCCATTCGTACTTGGGAGACCTCACATGAGCCGGACACCCCGAACTGGTGCCTAGCCCAGCTCTACCGCCAGTCAACTTGGGTGTACCTGTACCGGACGATCCGGCCCTCGCGACCGAGCGATAAAATCGCACAGGTAGTCGACGACGGGCTGAACTACCTAGACCAACTACCACAGGATGCATCCGCTTTCAGTATCGTCCTAATGCCGCTGTTCCTGCTTGGTTGTTCTGCGTTCTTGCCTGAGCAGCGTGAACGCATTACGCAGGGCTTCGAGAATCTCAAGTCATACTCTAACCTGCGAAATATCGAGCCTGCTTTCAAGGTTGTTTCGCGGGTTTGGGAGATTATGGATACCCGGACGCAGGATAGCTGGGACTGGGAAAAGATTATACGTGATATGAATATGGATTTCTTGATCACTTGAATATTCTTTTCTCATATCCTGCCTTCTTTCTCTTCCCCCCTTACCTTTCTTATACCCTGTCATTTTTTCTATTCTACCTTGTTTCTTGTTCTCTCCTTGATTATTACCGTCTTGGAAAGGGGATTCTCCGCCCTTTGTCCCATACCGTGAGCGATGATCACCCCCCAGACGAGGCTGTACGATGCGGCGTTTTGATTTGATTGTTACTGGGAGTGTGATGCATATTTGCATCTTTAAGGCCGGGGAGTATTACGATTACGTTTGCGTTTTATGTTTTTTGGTTCTTGGCTTGCGAGCATGCACCGCGGACTCTCCGTGTCAAAGGCGTGTTCTCTGGCTGCATTGCATTGCATGGTCAGGTACAGACGCCAAGTCGGTCTTTCCAAAAGCCCCCCGATTCAAAAAGGGCCGAGTTGGTGTTATTTCTGTAGTCGAAAGGTCGACTGGATGATCTCATGAGTTCGATGTGTTTTGGTCTTTGGTTTAGGTGATTGTATATATTCGGACTTCCCTTCCAAAGTTGGGGATTGTGTGGCTTAATAAGAATTGGGTCTTTATTGTACAGTATCCGATTTGTTGCTTCCAGGTGTATTGGACAGGCAGGGTCTAGACCTTGGATTTTGTCGGTTTATTTCTTTGTTCTTACTGGCTGTCTTATGGTCATCCTTGACTATAATCCAGTCAGATTATAGTCAGATTAATACTTATGCATACATTACATCCCGTCTGAAGTAGACAATTTACTGTTAAGAGGTCCCTCAATGTGTATGTTGTAAATATTAATTGGACACACACCAGCATGTTAATACAACTCTGTACACGAGTCTCCTCGCATATGCAAGGACCACGTTGCGGGATTAAAAGCTAAGCTAAGTATAGTCTAGAGGGTCCGAGGGTATGCGGTGAAACTGTCGGAGGACCCCGTAATCTGATCGAATTAGACTTTTTCATCCCGTCAATGTTTTAGAAATCTGGGGTCATCCTGTGATCATCCAACGGTGTTTAACTATCACCTGCATATATCCGAACAGGGGAGTCTTTTGGACGATGACCTCTAGAGCTGCTATATGATTCGCAATCTCGCTACGGCCCACCATGGAAAAAGACGAGATCATTACCGAATTGAGCGCAAAGCACATGGGTCTATCTGCAGACGTGCGAGACACCGTATACAATCTATCTCTGCGCGCGGTAAATCCAGTATGCATCAAAGTCAGCAATCTATCACTCGAAGTCAACACCACCCCACCAATATGGGAGACCTCGCCATCACAGATCTGGCAGCGTTTGCGGGGTAAACAACCCCCAAGAACCAACAAGACTGTCCTGGACAATGTATCCGCCTCCATGCCAAGAGGCAGCCTGACTGCCATAATCGGAAGCAGTGGCTCAGGCAAGACCTCCCTCCTCAATCTAATGGCCAACCGAATGAGTCTCTCCCGAACGAACACAAGCGGAACAACAACTTTTAACGACGACCCTGATATCGCCCGCATTCGCAGCGCCTACGTCATGCAAGAAGATGTCCTCATTCCGACGTTAACAGTTCGCGAGACTCTACGCTACTCGGCAGACCTCCGCCTCCCACCACCGACAACTCCAGCAGAGCGTCACGCAATCGTGGAACAGGTCATCCTCGAATTAGGGCTAAAAGAGTGTGCTGATACCCGCATCGGTACAACGACCCACAAGGGCTGCAGTGGCGGAGAGAAAAGACGTACTAGCATCGGCGTGCAGCTCCTGGCAAATCCATCTGTTCTTTTCTGCGACGAACCCACGACCGGTTTGGATGCTACCAGTGCCTTTCAGATTATCAGGACTCTGAAGCGTCTCGCACTGGATGGGAGAACGGTTGTTGTCTCGATCCATGCGCCGCGCTCTGAGATCTGGAGTCTTTTTGATAACGTTGTTTTGTTAGCTAGGGGGGCGGCGGTTTACAGTGGTTCAGTGGAAGGGTCCTTGTCACACTTTGAGGAGTGTGGATATACTCTTCCGCCCTTCGTCAATCCGGCGGAGTTTTTGATCGACCTTGCTGCCATTGATAATCGGACGGAGGAGCTTGAGGCTGCTTCGAATCTTCGTGTTGAGCGGCTGAGAGAGGTGTGGCGGTCGAAGCAGGCTGCAGCTACAGGCACGGAGGCAAAGGACAAAAGAGAAGAGGAGATATCGAAACCTGAAACCGGTAGCTTTGATACTGGAGCTGTGAAGCAGGTCTCATTTCGTCGACAGTTCTCCGTTCTCACATCCCGCACTTTCAAAACTACCATTCGTGACCCGATGGGTGTTGCTGGTAGCCTTCTTGAAGCTGTTGGAATGGCTGTCATTAATGGGTGGATCTTCCTGCAGCTTGACGAAAGTCAGGCAGGGATTCGCTCGCGAGAGGGTAGTCTATACACTGCTAGCAGTCTAAACGGCTATCTCATTCTGCTATACGAGACCTATCGGCTGACAATCGATATTCGCTTGTTTGACCGCGAACGCAACGAGGGCGTGGTTAGCGTGCCGGCTTTCCTTCTCAGCCGACGAGCAGCTCGGTTACCATTGGAGGACCTTCCAGTGCCGTTGATTTTCTCTCTCATCTTCTACTTCATGGTAGGATACCGTCTTGATCCGGGACAGTTCTTTATATTCTTCATCCTCACCCTACTCACGCACTACATTGCCGTGACATTTGCTGCAGTGGCCATCGGTGTAGCACGGAGTTTCCCTGGAGCTAGTCTGGTGGCCAACCTATCCTTCACTCTGCAATCCTTTGCGTGTGGATACTTTGTCCAATCTAACCAGATACCGGTCTACGTGAGGTGGTTGAAATGGTGTGCCTACACCTTCTACATCTTTGGGGCTCTTTGTGCAAACGAGTTTATCGGACCCAATGGTTCGGGACTGGGACAGTTCTACGCCTGCCCATATTCTGATAACCCTCTAGACCCGGCCTGCAAGCAATATACCGGGCGTTACATCATGGAAAGCCTGGGAATGCCATCCAACTGGATCTGGCGGCCTATTGTGGTGCTAGTTGCGTTTGCAATTGGTCACTATCTCCTCGCCGGTCTGTTGCTCCAGTACAACCGCTTCGCCATCAATGTTGCCCAAGCAAGAAAAGCGGAAGGAGACCCCTCTGGGAAATCAAAGCTCGCTATCCGCCCAACAGAAGAGGCGCGCAAAGTGGCAATATCGCTTGACAAGTATGCGTTGGAAATTCAAAAGAGAGAATATCCCTGGCAACCCGCAAGAATATTACAGATTCTGAGGCCCATTACGGCTGAGTTTCAGGCAGGAGAGCTGAACATTATCATGGGCCCATCTGGAAGTGGTAAAACATCACTACTTAACTCCATAGCCCACAGGCTGAACGGGTCTGTGGGGACCCAATACCGCGTCCATGGTAACATGCTATACAATGGCGCCGTACCCTCAGAGAGTGTGATCCGCTCAGTGACATCCTTCGTGACGCAAGACGACGATGCACTGATGCCCTCACTAACCGTCCGAGAGAGTCTACGGTTCGCCGCCGGTCTACGCCTGCCAACCTGGATGTCACGCGAAGAAAAGAACCGACGCGCAGAAGAGATCCTCTATAAGATGGGACTAAAGGAATGCGCCGACAATCTCATCGGCAGCGACCTCATCAAAGGCATCAGCGGCGGCGAGAAGCGACGTGTAACAATCGCAATTCAAATCCTCACAGACCCCAAAGTCCTCCTCCTCGACGAACCAACCTCCGGCCTCGACGCCTTCACAGCAATGTCCATAATCGAGCTCCTCCACAGCCTCGCCGCCGAAGGCCGCACTCTAATCCTAACCCTCCACCAATCCCGCTCAGACCTCTTCACCCACTTCTCCCAAGTCCTCCTCTTAGCCCGCGGCGGCTATCCCGTCTACGCAGGTCCCGGAACGCAAATGCTCGCGCACTTCGCCAAGCAGGGCCACGAGTGTCCACGCACAACCAACCCAGCCGACTTCGTCCTAGATCTTATCACGGTCGATCTCCAGCAAGCAGACCGGGAACTTGTCACACGTGAGCGCGTGCATGGTCTTATATCCTGTTGGAAAGATAGCCCTCTCGAGCTAGGGCTAGATCGACAGACATCACAGATTGCCACGCCTGCAGAACTGGGAAGTCTTAAGCGCCAGATGCTGCCATTCCGCGTGACATTCCCGCTGGTATTGCATCGCTCCGTGATCAACTTCTGGCGTCAGCCGCCGCTGGTTATGGCGCGGTCGATGCAGATTCCAGGGATAGCGATTATCATGGCGCTTTTCTTTGCGCCGCTGAAGAATGATTATGCGGCTGTTCAATCCCGTATGGGGTTCATTCAGGAGTTTGCGGCGTTGTACTTTGTCGGCAAGTTTACTCCATTCTCCCCCGGTTCTCTTCTGGGCATCCTTTTTGCATAGACATCCTAATCCCAAACAGGCATGCTCCAAAACATCGCAATCTACCCCAGCGAACGAGACGTCTTCTACCGCGAAGAAGCAGATAACTGTTACACAGCATCAACATTCATCCTCAGCTATACAGCCATCGAAATCCCCTTCGAAATAATCTCATCCCTAATCTTCGGTGCGTTAGCCGCCTTCGCAGACAACCTGCAACGTACCGTAACGATGTTCCTCATCAGCGCATTCAACTGTTTCTGCATAATCAGCTGCGGCGAGTCTGTGGGGATAATGTTCTGCACTTTGTTCTCACATGTCGGCTTCGCCGTCAACGTGACATCAATCCTGCTCTCTATCTCAACCATTCTCGGTGGCGTCATGAGTCTGAATGTCAACAACGTGCTACAGGCGCTAAACCATCTCTCGCCGATCAAGTATGCCATTGCTAACCTGGCGCCGTATTCTATGCATGGTCAGGTGTTCCATTGCTCTGATGCTCAGAGACTTGCTAACGGGACTTGTCCTGTTGATTCGGGCGAGCAAGTGCTTGAGCTGTATAATCTGGATAAGAATGGGCCGATGAATGTTATGGCGTTGGGTGTTTGCACAATAATCTATCG